GACTCCTTGATTACGTGTTTTGAAGGAAACTTGAGGGAAGACCTTTTGTTTTTTCTTCCACGGGGGGGGGGGGGCTCATTTTTCTCGGCCGCACCCACCTGGGCCGTGTCCCAAGTCTTCCATCGGGCGGTGGATCCCGGCGCCGAGGCTCAAGGACCTGCCCACGCCGCTGATCCAGCCGCCGGGGGCCCAGAGGATTTCTTTTTGGAGCGGCCGCGGTAAAATCCGAGGTGAGGCGTGGCTGTTGGGCGCGTCTGGGTGTGTGGAAAACCCGTGGTGGCGCGTCAATTCGGAGGGAAAGCGCGCACTTTTTTGGGTTGGGTTTTGGTTGGGTAGCCCCCAGTTTGAGAAAAGGGTAAAGCATGGGTGTCTCACTCCCTGAGTTCCGGGAGTTTCTGGGACCCGGACGTCAGTCACTTGTTGGGTTTGGACGTTTTTTTAGTGGCAAATCAGAATATGATTATCATGGTTTGGGCCAGTCCACTCAAGTGAGCTGTCCTTGGATTTGCATCACTTCATTCTAGGGCTTTACGTACTCGGCAGCTTTTCGGGAGGGTCAGGAGGGGTTCCGCGGGCTGTTGGGGATACCACCTGGGCTTATTTGAAAGGGAATCTATGACCGCCGTGTTGTTGTTTTTCTTTCTTTCTGGGAGGGTTAAGCAAATGGAGGCGGTAGTTTCCTGTTCAAGGGGATCCTAACAGCTTCTCCCGCACCCCCCAAACCTGACTGCCTCAAGGATACATTCCAAAAACCACCTGTTTTCAAGGGGATGCTCTTTCTCAGATGAACTCTGCCTGAATAAGCCTGGGGGGGGGTTCGAAGCAGCGTTCAGGCATTCTTCCGGACGGAAGCTCCGAGGCTGTTGAGGATACCACCTGCTCACTTACCTGGCCAGCTTGCGAAAGTGTGTGTGTGTGTGTGTTTCCTTTTAGCTGATCCTCAAATGTATCCTTCCATCTGTTTAACAATAGGGAGCGAATTACAACTCCACCGACATAGTTCGCATGTTGTTCCTTGGCCCAAATGCATCCTGTGCCATCAAAACAACGGGGTGTAAAATAGCCATGAATTTTCCTCAAGGACTTTGATTCTCCAAATCGTGCAAATATCGGGTTGAACCTGTGGCGAACCTGGGGCCATTTCAGTAGATTCTTGGGTTTCATTGGGGCTATAGTAGGGCCTAGACCTTTGTCTTGGTGCTCAATAGGGAACGCAGTTTTTCAGTGGCACCAGTTATTTTTCCAACTTTTGTTGGGTGGCTGCCCCACTAAAATGGCCCAAGCCCCAAAAAAGAATTGGTTCCAATCCTTCTTTTCCAGGGCCGCTGAACAACTGAGGGAAGGACCTTCCGGGCTTCGGAAACGAACCGGAAGACTGCGCGAGGAGCTTGTTTGCGAGAGATAGGGGATGGTTTATAGCGGGGTCTCATTGCCTCATTCCCTGAGAACCAGCAAGCCATAGCCATTTTGGAACCACAACTCTGTGGGTTTGTGTGCTGCATCGAAATCGATGGAACTCTCCCGCAGTCTGGCCTAGCGATCGATCGACTCACACGCTGCCTTCGATTCCCCAAACAGCCGAGCGAATGGCGCAGCCCATGTACGATCCCTCGGCTTACGTGGCTTGATTGCATTCATGGCCACCAGCTCGCAAGCCCTTCGTTCCTTTTGCCCCAACAGCTGGAAGCGTTCCCCAGATAGGCGACAAGGGGTGGCTTGGGATAGCTTTCAGAGAGGGTTCTGGAGATTCAATTCCGGGGCTGTTGGGGATGTCACTTGGGCTGCTTTTTGGAGGGGTTTCCTTCTAAAGGTCAACTACCAAAGGATGTTCGATTCGCCAAGTTAGTAAGCGGTGATCGCCACTTGGGTCCATGTCGGGGTGCTTGTGAGTGGGCTTTCACTCCAGCGACTTACTAGCTTGGCCAAAGACCCAAGTACCAAAACAAACACTAGCTCTCCCAGCTAGGTGCCCTTTTATTCCTTTTTTGGGGGAGGGGTCCCCTACTACAATAGACTACAAAAACAAAAACGTACCCTTATTCTACCCTCTCTACTGGAGGACCTAGATGGGTTGCAAGGCACCCAAAACCACTTTGCCTGGCCAACCCACATGGACCAAACCCGACAGCAGTTAGAGGGGCTTTGCCTGGAGCTACCTGGTTTCATGGTGGCAGTAGATGCATAAACAATTCTCAGTATCATAGGTGTGCTTTTTAGGCCAGTTTGGGTAGAAATAGACGGGTGCAGCTGGTTTAGATGGGTGTTATGCTCCATTGACCAGGGAAACCCATCTATTGTTTTTAAAAGGCTACCAATTACCAATGCTCAGTATGGTCGAACCAATAGTGAGCGGTTGGAGCACTGCTTTTTTGCTTTCTAAGGCACCCCCCTAAATGGTGGTTTTCATGTTAGTGTTCCTATTACCACCAAACATTTGCAACAAAAGACAGGCATATGAATCTTTCACCTTTCGCCTTTCACCTTTCCCAGTTTTTTTTACATCCACCTCCATCAACTTGAAAGAGGAGGGGACTTGGAGCTCGGTTTCTGGAGATCTCCATTTCAGGCAACCCAGTTTTGGTGTGGGGAAGATTAGAAGAATGGAACTGAGGGACCCCCACCCACCCACCCCCTCTCCGACGGTCGGTCCATCTTTGGACTTTAACTTGGTTGAAACTTTGTGGATCTACCGAAACGAATCCAACACATGTTATTGTTTGCAGAGGGGCCAACGGCAACCGAGTCTTTGGACATGAATTCGTATTGGTCAAGGCCAGCATGGTGAGGGAACCCTTGCGACGTTGGAAGCCATCTTGCATTCCTGCATCAAGGAGGTCCCGAAAAAGGCGGTTCCTTTCACAAGCGCGGGTCTCGTTGCTTCCATGCGGTTCCATGTTAAAGTTGCAGGGGAGGACATCTTAGCCTTTGACTAAATTTGATGAACCACGCAAAGGTTTCACGTTGATCAAATTGGGTTCTCGTTGTTTTTGCTTTTTAAGGGAAGCCACTCCCCATTGAATGACTTTAGCCCATTTGGGTACTTTCAGATGGTCGATTTCAGCATCAAACTCCTGGAGGTTGTCCTGGGTGTGATCTGGTGAGGGCGGAAGTTCTTGCGATCCCAGATTTGAGGTGTGGTCGGGTTTTTGTTTGTCTCTGGGTCATTTGGACTCACTTCTTGAGGTCCTGGACTTCAAACTTTTTGGGAAGACCATTTTAGTGGTGAATAAGCACAGTGTGCACTTTTTTGGACCATCCACTCGGGAAGTGAGTGGAAGGGATTCATGCAGCAACCAGGCCCCAGAAGCATAATTGTTTGACCGCTCAGGCGATGCCGCAGTCAAGCTCTATGGCAGTTCCGCAATCCGGCTCCTATGTGATGAGCTCCCCCTACCAGCAGTACCAGCCCCAGTACCAGCCCTATGCCGGGGGCCTTAGACCCGTTCCGATTTGCACGAAAGGACACTTATGTGGCAACCAATCCAAGCCGTTTCTAGGTCCCCCAGTCGTGCCCGTCTCTCCCCTTTTTTGGGGGAGGGGTCCCCTACAAAATAGACTACCGAGAAAGAAAAAAAATACCCTTATTCTAACCTCTCTACTGGAGGACCTAGGTTTATTAGTTTGTTTAGTGAGTTTCATGTGTTTTGCCTTCTTGCTGCTCATGTGTCCGTTGTCAACAGGTGAACTTTCACCCGGGAAAGCTAAGCTGTTGTGGATGGACGACCTGTTGCACCACTGAAAATATGGGAAGCCATGGGCTTTTGTGGTTGAAACCTTCCCCCAAACTCTTGGCCATTGAAGCCTGGTCCGTGGTCCGTGGATTAGGTGGGTGGAGTTCGATGGGCTGTGAGTCAAGAAGTAGGTACCCAACATGGGTTGCCCTTGCAAGTGGAAACACAGACTCCAGCCTACGATATACCCAGATGGGTTTCTGAATTGCTCGGGGAGCCACGAAACAAAGACCGCATAGACAAAGGTGAGTAAAGAAAGAATCCCCATCAGCGGATCTCCCCACCATTAAAAAAAAAAAAAAAAAAACGAGGCAGCCACTGCCCCCCTTAAAAGATGCATGACGGACGGACGGTCCGGGTGGAACTTTTCAGGTCAGGCAGTGAACAAATCGCCCGAGAGCCCCCCCGCCCGCTGCTTCTTGGGATCCAAATCCTCGAGGCGAAAGGCTTTCGACTCGAGGTGAAAAAAAAGGCGTATGCCTCAGAACACACATGGCCATGGCTCAAACCATGGAATCTATGGCACCTTGGCATATGGGAAAAATGGCACCTTTTATATATATATATATATATATATTATAGATATATTATATATATGTTTAAGAACCCGCCAACCTCAGCTTCTCAACATTTTGAGCCAGGCATACCTTCCAAAAAACACCCTCCACCGGCCCAAAGCTGGATACCCATCCCATCCACCTGGACCGCCTAGGCCGCCGCCCCGGCGCCGGTGAACCACGCCCAGGGCAACTGTGGCGCATGTTGCCAACGGATGTTAGGACTTGAACTGCCAACAAATGGGTTTTTCCCATCAAACCACTAAAAGGTTAAACTTTTGGCAGGGGAGCAGAAAAGCCGTTCCGAGAATTCCAATTGGGTGTCTACGACATACTTTCTCAACAAAACAAAGAGAGGACCAAATTGGGTGGTGTGCTTTCGGTTGCCCTTCCCTCAGCAGCAAAGCCGAATCATCTCCGAAGTGGAGAGTAAGTGTTGCCCCTGGCGCCTTTTCTGGAAAAAAATAAGCTCAGGTGATATCCCCAACAGCATGCGGTGCTCGTTTTAGTGCTCGCACCACCCCGCAGCCCTCGCAGAACCTCGTGGAACCCTGGTGGAACCCTGGTGGAACCCTCGTGGAACCTTACCTCAGGGCCGCCCCGGACCACCCCGGAGCCTATCTGGGCAGAGACCCCAAAGCTTTCAGCTGTTGGGGGGGGAAAAAAAAGTCCCGGGGAAAAAACAAAAACGGAAAGCCGCGGGGGGGGGGGGGGGCACTGGGGTCCTCAGACCCCCCCCCAGACCCCGCCAGCCAGCGGGGTCGGGCGGAACAACTCCGAGGCAAGTGGTTCGCCCCGGGGGAGGCGCTGCCGCCGGGCTTCGTGGCCATGGCGCACCCCGAGGGGGTCCTCGAGCCTCAGGCGCGCAAGCGAGCGGAGAATCCGCGCGAGGGTGGGGGGGGTTTGGGGGGAGGGGGAGGGCGAGTGGGGGGATGCAACGGAAGGGGCTCCTGGACCCCCCAAGGTCTGTTTTTTTGTCTTACCTCTTAAAAACACAACTTTTCAACTTGTTGGGGGTAACATAGGCGATATTTCTGTAAAATATTAACTTCCCCAGGGCTTGGAGTTTTAAGGGGCAAGTTTTGTTCAAGGGAATGGGCTTCAAAAGGGCTTGATCTCCCCCTATGCAGAGGCAACCAGGACAGGTTCGGTTTGGTATCACCGAAAGCTTTGTTTTCCACAACCATGGACCGTATGTTCTGTACATACACATGTATGCGGATTCCCTAAAGGATACAGCCACAAACTAGCCACAAACCAGCCGCTTCTCGAGGGGATTCTCTCAAACAGATCCAACTGGTGGCCCAGTTCTTGTTTAGATTGCCCTGTGTTCCCTTCGAGTTGCTTAAGAATATGTCGCATTTTCAGTGATTCTAAAAAGGAATCTATCCCTGGACATAAGTTTGCTCATTTGTTCCAGACGCATCATTCTCAGGGACCCACAGGGCCCTGTTTTTGGTCCTTGGGTGCTGGGCCAAGTTAGTAAGTGGTTAGTAACCTGGGTTACCTACTTACAACCAGCCCAACTCACTCACAAGTAGGTAATAGGCGAACGGTTACAATCAAAACCTGGGTAGATGAAGGTTAGTAGAGGATAGTTCCAACCAGAAATGGGTACCTTCGCTGCCTTTCTAATTATTCCCAGGTTTGGGGTAGACCACAATCAATAAAGCCGATCGGTATACAATGCGCTTAAAATATGTTGTTACACACCACTCACTAACTCATTTTGAGTAACCTAAGCTAAGTAAGTGGTTAGTAACCTACTTGCGTGCTCGATTTGCCAAGTTAGTAAGTGGATAGTACCCTGCATTAGACCCTACTTACCGCCAGCCCAGCTCACTCATGAGTAGGTCAAAAGCCCCAGGCGGCGACCACCACTTGCTAACTTGACATCGAAGTAAAGGGAAACCGAGAGGAACAACCACGAGGTTGTTTTGTTCCCCTACAAAACAACACACCCACATGGAACTGCGACTTCCCATTGGTCTAGTAAGCCTTTCACCGCCACTCCCAGGCTCTGTTGCCCAGTGGGTTGCTTCCTTTTTTCGTTTTTTTGTTTGGGGTAAAGGTTCCTTTTCCCTTTAAAACCGGGTGCCCCTGTTTGTCCCAAACTTTTTTTGGGCAAGGGTTCTGGAAACTCACTCACCAAAACGAAGGGTGCCCTTTTTTGTCCATTTTTTGGGGGGTAAGGGTTCCTTTCTCCTTTCTCACTCCACAACACCAGGGGCGCCTGTCTTTTCCCCCTGGAAAATCCGCCGCCGGCGATCTGAGCCGCCGGAGCTTCCGGGAAGCGAAGTCTTGCTCCAGGCCCACCACGCCGTGTCCGAGGCGGTGAAGGCGGCCAAGGGCATGGCCACAGATACCATGGACGCTGCCGTGAAGGCGAAGCACCGAGGTCGCTTCGTTGGTTTGTTGGTTGTGTTTGCTAGGAAGCGGTTTGGCGGCTCCGTGTTTTTCTTGTTTTTCTCCTAGGGCCGTTTGTCTTTGTTGTTATTAAAAAAGAACAAAAACAAGAAGAACACAAAACTAGGGCTGGTCCCTGAAAAAAAGCAGAGTTGCCGCGGTTTGGAGGGGTTGCTTTTGTGGATGTTTTTTGTGTTTTCCCCCTGGTGCTCTTCCCCCGTCTTGATCCTTTTTTAGGATTATTTGGAGGGGGAGGGAGAGGCTTGGAGGGCTTGAGGTGGGGTTTGGGGTGGGGTTTGGGGTGGGGTTTGGGGTGGAGTGGTGGGCGGTTGGGGGAGGGTGGAAAGGTGGGGCAGGTTCAACAGGAGGTAGTCTCTCTTCCTGTGTTCCGTTTCGCACTTTACTCACTTTTTGTGCTTGGACAGTTGGACGAATTTGAGTGGTAAACAAAGAAAGTGCCCTGTATAACATACGAATTGCCATACGCAGGAATTTGATCTTCCTGCGAAGGTCTTCTACAATCTGCGTAATGATAAAAGCCATGGTTTACTGGTTCCCTTGGTGGCCATTCCCACCGTTTTTTTTTCTTTTTTGTTTTTCTTTTTTTTTTCCGGATTTTCATCTAGTTATTCAAAAGTCGGGAAGCTTGAAGAACTGCAAGGAAGTCTTCCATTTGCTTGAGTTGTGGAGTTTATCACTCCGGGAAATACTTTTCAATGTTTTCCCAGAATCTTAAGCAAATGGAAGAAATGGTTGGCTCCCTACTATAGCCCATACCCCATAGCTTCGAGTTTCGCCTGGGGTCCATAGAGCCAGGTTTTTGCAGGGGAGCAACCCAGAGGTTTGGGTGGACAAGTGGCAGAAGGGGCTCTTTTTCCCTCGCTCCAACTACCCGTTTGTGGCGGTTTCATGGGCATTTGTTGAAGAACCAGATAATACAGCTGCTATAGGTGTTCTAAAGTACATAGTGATTGAATGAAAGGCATGGGTAAATTTGTTGAAGAACCAGGGGGTTGAGGATCTGATGTCAGTTTTTGCTTGAGGAACCAGTGTTTTTATTCAAGAGCAGACCTCAGATCCTCAATGGAACGGGCCAACGTTCTACCCCCTCCCCAGGCCGGCTACGGAGCTACCGGGGCCGGTGGCTTCCATATCACTGTCAAGCCAGTGGTCGGTCAAGGTTTAAGTTTTGGTAGAGGTTGACAAAAACACAAGTGCTTGGAAAGTATGTGGAGTTGCTTTTTTGGCAAGTGGTCGACATATAGCCAGTGGGTGGTGTCAGTCCCCAAGAAGTCCAGGTTGTGATTCCATGTCCTATAGTAGTCCAGGCAGCCTCCTGGCAACCAACACAAAAGGAACATTCAGCTCGCCCCTACTTCCAAACTTGGTGCTTTGGACTGGGTGGTTTGGGTGGTTTGGCGTGCGTTGTTTCATCTATATTCTGCAAGAAGGGATTCAAATCCCGAATCCAAATCACAAATCAGGAGTCTGAGACATGTCTGGGTACCAGATACCCCAAGGTGGGTGTCCTTCCTTCAAAACCCAGGTAAAGGTACCCTCAAAACAAGACACAGCCGTGTTTGGGGCACGGGGCGCATGGCTGGTTTGTTTTGTGGGCCCACGCTTTGCCCTTTTGGCCAGGCTGGAAGCTCCATGGTGAGCAGCAAGAAGAAGTGCCTCGGCTGCCGAATCGAGAGAATCCGCTTAGTGACAACGAATGCAACATGGGAGAAGGGACAGCTGGAAGTATCTAATAGATAGACACCCGAGCCGTTTTGTCCGTTCAGAGAGGCCGCCTGAAACGGAAGCCAAAAAGCCATTCAGAGTGAAACTGCACTTTCACCCTAGTGTTTAAAGTATTACAGGGAAATCTACAGGACATGGCCCCAAAACACCCTAAAGAAGCTGCTTTCCTGTAAAAGAGTCCTGTAATTAACCCAACTTGTTTGGAGTTTAGGCCACCCTTTGCCCTTGTTTTCCAAGGCTTTGAAAGGATGGGCGCCCCTGAAGAACCTATACAGGGAAATGGAATAGCGCTCTTGGGTCCTGATATGCACCCCGCTTTGCAAGGAAGCTGAAACGACAGGTTTAGCTTGACACCTGTCCAGTGTTGATTGACTATCCTTGAGTGGGGTGGAGGGAAAGGGAACAGGATGAGCCCTTTAAATGGAAGCCAAAAGGAAACGATGTGGAGGAATTGATCCCCAATTTTGAGAAGCGCTCACATCACCTTTTGAGTCGGGCAGCGACTTTTGGGGGCTTATCACGTGGGACTTCTGTAAACGGCGGGGGGCGGCATCACATGTTCCATCCCCAATCCCAAAGCCAAAACCGAAAGTGCTTTGCAAAAAGCAGCCGTTGGGCGAGGGGGTTGCTGGTAACAGGTTCCCAGCTTGCATCACGCGCATGAAGTTTGTTTCCAACAGTTCCTCAGTTGTCTACAAACAGGACATTGTGTCTTGGCACGCATGGTAATCATGTCACTTGAGCATAGCTCCCTACAACATCCTACAGCCACTTTGCTAGAAGAGTTGCAGTACTGTGGATGGACGAAACCATTTCGCACCACTTCGAAAGCATGGGAAACCAATGTTTGCTGGTATATACAGGGGAAACGTCATTGCAGAGTGTCTTAGGTGGTGCGAAATGGATTTCGTCCATCCACAGCATCACCCGAACCTGAGCATGTGGCAGCTAAGGAGCAAGAAGAAGAAGAGCTCCGGCTGCTGCTGAGCTTCGAGCTGCTGAGGGCTTTGAGTTTTCGAAACCAGCCACTGACTTGGCACAAATCGATTTTTCATCTCACATAGCTTGGTGGTTCCCAGCCATCCGGTTCCTTAGCCTTTTAGCTTTTTCGTGTTGAGTGGTAGTTTCCATAATTTGCCCCACTCAATGTCAAACTTTTGGCGGGGGATCTGAGGAGGGCAGCCCAGATAGGAGTCAGGTGTGCAACCAATTTTACCGTTGATGCCAACTAATGAGTTTTCCATTAAACCACTAAAAGTTGTATTTTTAGCAGGGGAGAAGAAAGCAACCGAGGATGCTGGTTCCTTTACAGGGATTCCTGGTGGTTCAAATCGGATCGTCCCAGATCAATCCATTCCCAAGCTGCCAAGTGGTTGGACGATTGGCCCGGCCTCACTTGCAGGTGGGGCGGTCAAGCGGGCACCCAACCTCCCTTCAAACGGAAAGGGCCCCGCAGCGAAACAGCGAATGGCTCATTAAAGCAGTTGCTACATGGAGGACTGCATGCTTACCTCTTAAAAACACAACTTTTCATTTTGTTGGGGGTAACATAGGCTATATGTCTGTAAAAGATTAACTTCCCCAGGGCTTGGAGTTTTAAAGGGTAAGCATGGAGAACTGCGGAAATTCTAGAGCTAAGACATGCCGAGGTTTCGGGGAGGGCAATGGGTGGATCCTTGGCCGACTCCAATCGCATTCGCTTACAGAGCCCAGCCAATGCATTCGCAGGCTGGGGCAAAGGCGATTCCGCGTGTAAGTATGACCCTCAAGAAAGACACGCTGTGAGAATCGCTGTTCATGATATGCTGAGCTGACAATATGATCACCATAACTCCACAGGACGTTTGAAACAACCCCATCAGTATCTAAGCGCCAAGCCAAAGAAACATCATAGCTTTGGGACGCTGCCTTATCCTCTCGTGCTGCTTTGTTTGTATTGAGAGCGGTGTCTTTGCCCCAGCCAGATGCTTCCATTTGGGGAGCCGGAACTGCAGACAAAACATGGGCCTGGCGAGCATTGGCTGAATGGGTGGGGGTGCCCCAAGATGAGACCTACGTCATTTGGAGTCCCTCACTTTCTGACTTCCTGGGCTTGAAACTGTTTGGAGTTGGACCATGTGTGTGGCAAGCAACACGTTTGTACCTTTGTCTTGGCCCGGAAGTGAGGTGATGTGGGACCAATCTGTGAGGTCAGTTTGGTGAAACATCATGGGTGGTTTTCAATCATTCGGCGCCGCTTTCCCAAAGCAGAAGGCGCATAGCAGAGACAGTGGCAATTGGGCAAAATTTGCCCCACGATGAAGGCCACCTCAGCTGTTCAAAGCCGACCTTTTGACCCTTTGGTTTTCCCATTTTGGTCCATGTTTAATCATGGCCCCAAAAGGTTAACCTTTTAGTTGCAGGTCCTTTGAGCAACTGAGCCACTTAGAGACTGCGTCTTTACACAATCGCCCCGTCCCCCTTGAAAGGCACGAAACAGGGACCGGTCCCTTGGCTGGTTTTTGGTGTGACCCAATCCCCCAGACCTTTTGGCAAGTGGCCTTTCCGTCAAGCCTACAAAAGATGATCCACATGTTAACATTGGCCCCTTCCTCACTTTTCGAGTTCCTGGTTTCTGTTTGTCACTTTTTGGGGTTGGTTGCCGTTTTAGCGGTAAACCAACTTTTCGGGGGCTGGTTGTTGGCCCATCCACTCGATCGGAAGCGAGCACTTCTAAATATGTTGGCCCTTGTGCTGCGCGAATCCATTTCGCCCCACCTTTCAACGCTGAAATGATTCGACTCCCCAACGCAAATACCTAAGCGTAATGGTTTCAACCATGGCTTCATTTCGTGCGAATGGATTTCGTGTATCCGCAATGGTTGTTCCGTTTGTTGCCCAGTGGATTAGTAGGCAACCAACTATGTGTCTCTTGGTTTTTAAAGGGTGATTCCCTTGGTTACCTATACAATAAAATGGTTCCACAAGGTTGGTTCAACGGAAAAGCAGACTGACCAAAAGCTCCGCCCGGATTCGGAAGATCGGCCATGCAACCTAAATTCGTTGGCAGGTGCCGTAAAACGTAGTGAAAGGCCCCATATTTATATATTTCCTATATTTCCCTTTAAACTTATTTCCCTATATTGCCCCATTATTTCCCTTTAAACATGCCCAGTGATTCCACTTCCCTGGTAGGCAACCAAGGGCTTGCCAGCCTTTGAACACCAAACGGAAAATGGCCGGTTACCTACATGGCCATGGGTCATAACCTATGCCTCCATTCCAGGGCGGATGAACACCCATGTACCACCTATTTGGAAGTTCACCAGGGGTACAGGGTTTTGACCCACAGCCATATAGAAAACTGGGATCCACTGGAAAACCCTCCAAAAAAGGACTCTTTTTCCATGGGCTCAAAACTTGCTGGTGCGACAGGCAGGGGATGAGGGAATGAGCCCTATAAAGAACCATCCCTTGTGGTTTCCTTTAAGGAAATCTCCAGGTTCATTCCCTTATTCACTTACTTGAGCACCAGAGGGCGAAGGTGATCTTTGACACCTAGGTCCCCAGTAGTGCCCTTCTCTCCCCTTATTTGGTTGGGAGGGTTCCCCTACTAAAATAGACGTCCAGAAAAAAATCGGGTACCCTTATTCTAAGCTCTCTACTGGAGGACCTAGCTGTGCTTGCGCTGAGGCCACTGCACCCGGAGTTCCAGGCTTGCGCCTCCCTCGCCACGACTTCTTCGGTCGGGGAGCCAAGCGGAAGCAACGCGCGAACCGCGCGAGATTCGGCGATATTTCTTTTCGGCAGACGGGGTCTGTGTTTCTTGGAGGGTGCCCGTTTGAATGGTGTCCCTCACTTGGCCCGGGCCGCCCCCCAAAAAAAAGCAATCTGGTCTATTCAACAACTTGCTGTTTCGATAGGCATGGAATGAGAAATGGAATGAGACCTATAACCCATCCCCTAGACTTTCCTTCATTCGGGCATTCCCAACACCGCTCGGTCATTCTCTACTTAGCGCCACCAAGTTGATTGGTGTCCCTTAATGGGTGGGTGGGATTGGCAGTTTGGCCTCGGCGTAAAACCACCAAGTACGGGTATGGTACGTGACCTTTGGTGGTTGAAAGGGTGCTCGATGTGCCGAGTTATAAAAAGGTTGATAACCTAGGTTGTAGCCTGCTTAGGAGTGAGCCCCTTTTGGCGGTTTAAAGGGAAACCAAAAGGAAACCGATGCCTTTTTTGGGGGGTACCCCTCCTATTTTGACATATATCCAAACAGAGCAGCCCTCATGGCACCCAACCTGCCTATTTGCCATGTTGGTGGGTTCCAGCGGGTTCAATTCTTCCGGGGGGTTCAAAAGAGCGGGTTGGTTAAGGGGATGAAGTTGTTGACCCTGTTGTGGCTCCCGGGTCCAAAATTGGGCAACAAGTTCCATTTCTCGACCCCTGCCCCAAATGCCCACTTTGTTCTCGGTTTGAAGGGATGAAGACTTTACCCAATCTTTACCCAGCTTGGGGTCCCTCTATGTTTCCAACACCATGTTGCAATCTCAGGAGCTGTGCCGTCGTAGTCTCCAAATCACTTGTTTGTGGGCATGATCACTGGCTAAACAAGGCGCTAGAGCAACTAATTCTTCCAAACACACACTCCGAGTGGGTGTTTGGAGCGGCAAGTTGCGAAATCATTCCAATCGTTTTGTGTTCGGAACTTCAATGCGAAATTGTCATTCACAAGATATTTACATCCCTTCTAAATCATTGGATTCTAAGCCTCCCCAGTTTTCATTCTCAAAAACGACCCGTCCGTCACTTGCAGCCTGAATTCCCAAAAGAAATTCAGGCAGAAGGCAGGGGGCTGCATCCTGTGGCTTCTCTTCTCCTGACATCACCCCAAAAGGCACCTCATGAAACAACTTGGCCAAACCGGTGATGTTTACAACCACCTTTTGAGGGGGACACCCTGGAAAAATCAGGTTGCCTGTACCAAACGCAACCTTACGTGTCTTTGTGCCAACTACCTGCCAACTGGTTGAGCAACTCTAGAGCTTCCCCCAAGCCGCTTTAGGATCTTGATCAAGAGGCAATGCCAATGACTAAACATGTGGTATTTCGGGTAAGTTCTAGACAACGTGTAGTCGCCAAGGAATTGGTTTCTAAACTTATAAGCTGCTCGATGCCTTGCTTCTTATTATTTCTTTTGACTTCGCGGGAATTCTCCGGAACTGTTTGCTTGAGTAGTTTTGATAATTCGCAGGCTGAACGTACCCCATACGCAGATCTCCTATTTGTGCTTAGGCGCTGTTCTGAAGTGTAGGCAGTGGCTTCATTCAGCTGCCCTATCTGTACAGTTGGGGCAAACAGAGCCTCTGCCATTCTTTTCTTTCAGAGCTTCTCAAGGGGAGCCATTGCCACAAAGTGACTAATGAATTTTCCAAAGACCTGGTTAAACTGGGGTGGAATCACCTGCTTGGCCCATCTTCCAGGGTGTCGTTTTCTGGGTGAAATGGGGAAACCCGCGTGGACTTCCTGGCCATTAAGTGTTCTTCAAACACGTACTTCCTGAAGTGGAAGGCCATTTTGGGTGGCAAACCGAAAGTTTGGTCCAGCTTTCTTTGGCCCATCCACTTAGTTTGGTGAGAAAAAGGGGTCCCGCAAAAAACAAAAAAAACAGAACGACCCCGGATCCATGTTGCCGGCGTTCGAATGCCTAGGCCCCGGCCGGAACGGCGCCCGAGTTCCTGGACGAAGGTTCAGGCGCGGCCGCGATTTGCTCCGATTTGGCCCGGGCGGAAAATATTTCGAGGGTCGCCCTTGTCGTTTTGCTCAACCCGGTGGTTCAAAAAGATGAGCTGGTAATTATTTCCCTTTTGGTTGGTAGAGGGAAATCCAAAAGCGCACCACACGGCTTTTGGAGTTTCGAAGCTATTTGAAGGGAAACCCAGTGGAAAACCGCAGAAAATCGGGGCGTTCCCTGATTTTGACAAGCACATATTGATTCGGAGCCATGG